CCGGGATGAATGGCAAGGAAGGATTAAATTGGCGGCAGAAACCACTCGGACGCCAATCTTTTACTGAATCGACCAGTCATAGTCAAAAAACTTAATTTTGAGACCACGACGAAATCGAATCCCACAACCGCCAAGAACGCCTGGTTTCTTCACGGCGGGGTTGAGGTTTCGAATTTAAAGAAAAGCGAAAAAGAGACAGAGAAGGAGGATTCCAAGGAAAGCTTCATAAAGATGAACAAAAAAGAAAGATGGAGAATGGCATTGGGGGTTAGGTGGTTCGGACTAATCCCGAAATAACCAAGAAATGATGAAGGAAAGCGAAGCGAAGGCAAAAGTCCGGCGCGGACAAAAGAAACGAAAAGGACAATCTCACGGGACCGGAGCTGGAACCCGATGCTCGCCGGAACCCTCCATTCAAATGATGACTTTGCTTTGGATCAAGCTATCACTAACGAGCTCATGCGGTGATGGTCTTCGTTTGTTGTTGGGGCCGCCAAACCTTCCGAAAGCGACCCTCATAGCCACGAACTCCCCGATTTTCGATCAAAGAAAGGGATGACTCCTCGTCTCTGAAGGTCGCTCGAGACTTGCTTGCGTTTTCTTCTTTCCCATGAACTGGCGGAAGCAAGAGAGGCGCTAAAGGAGATGTAGGATGATGATGCTCGGGATTCTGGCGATGACGGCGGCAAGGATTTCTCGAAAGCTAGGGTTTAAAGGCAAGAGTTGGGCGAAAAGGATCTTTAAATAGGTTTCTCAATGATACAAACGGCCCACAAGGCCCGATAAAACACAATGTGGGAACACGACGGTCCATTTACCGATGCAATTAAAACAATGGAGGCGCAAATCCACACAACAAAGACAAACCAAAGGGCGATTTCAGACTTATCCGTCCGGCACCACGGCAAGGTTATCGATCGCTACTACAAGAACAACTCGTCAAAACAAGAAGAAAGAAAGAAGAAAGAAAAGACTACCTCACAAAGAGCAAAAGAACCCGATTATTTGAGAAAGAACCCAGTAATCTCATGGACAACGGGATCGCAATGAAAAAGTAAAAGACAACTCGAAAGACAAGATTCGTTTACATTACAAGCGACTTCAAAAATAGAAGATTACAAATCTTACAAGACCCAACGAACTCGGGCTTACGAAAAAAAGGTAGCAAAGAGGAACGCGGACACGGCTAGGCTCGAACGACTACATGTCCCAAATTGCTACTCGGAAGGACAAACCGCCATCATTCTACACCGCTTTTCTTCAAAGGAAGGACGCAATGCACTCAAAGCGGAAATCGGCGAGACGACGGAGACAACATGGAGCGAGAGAAGGCGGCGGCATCATCTGTCTACCCAAGACCGATGTGATATCAGCATATGGTGTTGATCTGCTGGAGACGGTCTCAAGACAAAGCGACGAGGATCAACCTAGAATGGCGAGATGAAGGAACGAAGCCCGCATCACAAGACTTCCTCCAACTACCACCACATACATCCCGGCACAATCTTTGTCATGGGATTAGCCTACCTCTAATCCCTATCACAAGACTTCCTCCATTACGACAAGACACACAGAACTACAAAATATGCCCGGGGCTGCTCTACTTCACAAACTACCATGCTCATATCCACGAAGGTTTCAACGGAATATCCAATAGATGAAAACAAGCACTCCAGAATGATGTTATAGACCAAAGGAGCGCGCGCACATGGACCAGAGTACCGCAAGCCGAAATAAGCCCGACAAAGAACACAAGGTGAAAGGACGGGACTCAATAATGGACGACTCAAAGAGAGGAAAATAATTGCTCGAGGGCGGGCATATTCGGAAGAATATACCTTTACAGATACAACCCGTGAACAAAAAACATTTACACTCAACCACCACCATACAACTACATCCGGCAAAGAAGGACTATCAAAGAATACGCCAAGACCTCGCATTCGAGTTCTTCCGAACAAAACAACACGGATATCGCTCGGGGGCTCGGCAACATCACAAATTAATCAACACTAAGTGGGGAATTCGCCCTCATTTCAACTACTCCGGGGGCTCGTAACCAAAGACAAAAGACAAAAATACAAGAAACTCAAGACTACAACGACGACGACGCATCAAGACTTTTCAACCGACTTCTTTTTCAAAGAAAAGAACTCGGAGAAGGCACGAGGTCAAGGATACATAGCCCCCTGCAATTTTTTTGAAGATTAGAATCTGACCCTCCAACTTTTGCAAGCAAAAGCAAGAGGCTCGGGGCTACACTCAATGAGTGCAATTTTATGAAAAATTGCACCCACCAAAAAGAACTTCGAACGTGGGCTCGGAGGTCGCACAATCCGTGAAACTACTCTTGGATGATGGTTTAATCCAAGACTAAAGGACCGCTTCGAAAGATACCACGAAACTACTCGGATGGTGGTTTAATCCAGGACTAAAGGACCGCTTCGGAAAGATACCACAAAAACTACTCGGATGATGACATAATTCAAGTCTCGGGGACTACTTCAGAACACAAATTTTCAAACAACATAAAGGATCAAGACCCTCCAACTTTTTGTTCCAAATAGCAAGAGGCTCGGGGGCTACACTCAGTGAGTGCACTTTTTCTTCGAAAAAGCGCACGTCACCAAAAGACTTACTCAACGCAGACCACTTCAAGACTTTGCGACAAAAAGAACCCGGAACGAGCCATATTCGAGTTCTTTTTGACAAAACTTCAACGAACAATCAGAGCAACTTCAAGACAAGATCCTCCAGCTCCTTGTTCCAAATAGCAAGAGGCTCGGGGGCTACAACCAGATGGATGTACTTTTTCTTCACAAAACACTCACCACTCGAAGGTCCCAAGAAGCACTACAAGGTCTCACTCCAGAAAGCACTCGGATAACATTTTGTTCCTACCTAACAAGACTTGAAGGAGCAAAGCGAGACTTTCAGAGCTCAACCATGAAGTGCTCGGGGGCTTGTCGATGCGGGACCCACAGGATACCCCGCAAGAGAGAGAGAAGATCTAGTTCAACTAGGATTCTTCCTATGTAATCTCAGTAATAGAACTATTAAATAATCCTACTAGAAAATCTCATTGTAAACCGATTAGGACCCTGGCCTCCTGACTATATAAAGGAGGACAGGGCTCCTGAAAGAGACAATGGTACGACATAACACTTCATAATCAATCCAACGCAAAAGGCAAACGCCGACTGGACGTAGGGTCGTTACTCGATCTACGATCGAGGGCCTGAACCAGGATAAATCGACTGTCTCTTGCGTTCACCATCGAGTTCAGCATACGCCGAAGCCCGAACTATACTGCCACGGTACCCCTGTGGCAGGCTATCGGTGGTAAAACATCGACAGCGACCCTACATTCCAACTACCTAAACGGATCCTAGTTGGTTCGACTAGCTTTCTTACCCTTCGCACCCGTCGACTCAGATGTAAAGACCCTTGCTCATTTTTCACTACATCCGGGCGCCGATGTAGCGCACCACTAAGGATGCGACGACCCGATCCTTGCTCACTTGACACCGTGCCCAGATCGCGACACGGCGCGTCACGGGGGTGACGACCCGGCCCTTGCTCATTTAACACCATACCCGGGTTGCGATATGACGCGTCACTAAGAGGGTTACGCCCCAACGGTTTTCTTTCGAGTTTCATCTCCATTAGAATGACTAGATTTAACGTTGGCTCGCCACGCCTATCACAACCCTCCTCCTTTATCCGGGCTTGAGATCTGCTATGTTGAGACAACATAGGCGGAGTTAAAAATATAGTACTAGCCTAAGGTTTTGAACCTTGAACCCTGACTATCCCAATCGGCAAGCCTAACCACTTGGGCTATAACAAATATGCAGAATATACCAAAAGCAATAGTTAGCCTTCCGTAGGTGGCTTACCTACAAATGCAGACTTAAAATGCACTGCAGGTCTACCGAATAGATATTGATACAAATATTTTGAGATGGATTGGGGTAATTATTCATTAAAATTCTACTTAGTCTAGAGTAAGTAGATAAATGTCTAGAGTAAGTAGAAAAATCTCTAAACACTTCTTACTAAGTCTATCAAAACCACATATCTGTCAAACATCTTGTTTAAAGGTTCAAATTATACGGCAAAATCAAGTGAACAGTATCATTCATTAGTCCCACATGTTTGAATTTTGAACGTCATCATGGTTCTATGCACCAGTATGGCCAAATAAACTTGTACTACTGTGTGATCAAGTGGATGGAGATCTCAGAAACAAAAATAACTAGAGTGAGCTGTGCAAGAAATAATTGTAGCAATCTCGTCACATATGCTTCACGGACGTGGTATTTGGTACTTGTTGAAAAGTTGCTGCTCTCCACTCAATCTGGAACTAATTCCGCCACAACATCTTAAGTTCCACTCAGCTTTTAGTACCAATTACCTCACAGACCGCTCTCCAGATCTAGCTTTTTAATACATAATAAGAAAAACTACTTGCACAGCACTCTCACCAAAGGGTTTTGCTCCTGTGTCACCATTTTTTTGATTTTTTCTCTGCATTGCCTTCCACCCTCAGCTTGCTACATGGCCACCGTTGTATGCCAGCCCTAACTTCAAGGCTACAATCCCCTTGCTTAGCAGGGTCCAGATCCAGATCACCAAGCAACATTCCTCAGTGTCACTCCCCAGCTAGACTGGTACTGCTGCTCAATATCTCCACATCAGCTTCTACTATGATGGAAGCAGGCCGACGTCATTAGCTGGCTCACAAGACGGTACTAACATATTGGAAGCGAAGTGTTAGATGGAGGAAGACACCAAATAAAAGCAATCCGAAGAAAAATAGTGCACAGGTGGAAACCCCTTCAGCAGGAGTGCTAAGAGAATAATTTTCCTTATATGCAAATGGATTTAAGTGAGTGGATAAATGTGCCTATATTCTGCAAAATCAGGCAGAAATTTTGGATGGGGAGAAGGAACAAATCACAACCAGATCAAATGCACTATTACGGTTCGTTTATTGTTCAACAGTCACAGTCACCCCTTGATATGTTGTTCCCCATAACTGCCCAGAATAAAATCTCAACACAAACAACATTTCAAGTGACTATGGAACATTCAAGCAGAAACTACTGTAGACAATAAGGAATACTAAACCTAAAGTTAGAATCTCTAAGCTACAAGTACAAACATGAAAATAACTCTCTACTGGCCGACAATTTTAAGGGAAGGCAATGGTAATAACTGCATATATCTCGCCACGTACTCCAATTACCTGAGGCAGTCGCCACTTCGACCACGGGAGCTGTGCTCTCTGTCGTCGTCATCGCTGGAGGAGGACGATGTACCACTTCCACTCTCCTCGTCGGCGGGAACTGGCGACCCGCCGCGCTGGCCGTATCGCATACGATACTCGATGGCGACGCAGACCATGTGGACGACGCACTGGGCGGCGTACCCAGCGATCCAGAAGCGGAGCGGCATGGAGGGACTCTCGTCGTGGCTGAGCACGAGCACGACGGCAGAGACGAGGATGAAGGCGAGGTTCCAGAGGAAGTCGAGCGCCACCACGGGGCGGGAGTAGGCCCAGTCCGCCTGCCGCTCCTCCAGCTGCTCCGCCGCGGCCTCCCACACCAGCAGCGACGGCTCCCGCCCCGCCGCAGCAGCCGCGCCGCGCCCCGGAGCGACGGCCGGCGCAGCGCGCCCCCGCGGCGCCGCCCGACACCGCCGAGGAGCGGCGCCGAGTCCAGGAGCGCGTCGCCGCGGGGGCTCGGGGAACGCGGTGTCGCCATCGCGGGAACCCTAGCGAGATCGCGGGGAAGGTCTGAAGGTGAGCGCGTGTTTCTGTCCTTTCTCCCCCTGCGGCAAGGGGACCTGGGGAAGCAGCCAAAGCAGAGATGATGAGGAGTCGAGATTTTCCTTCGAGATTTTTTTCTCTCAAAATGAATATTCTGATTATATACAGTACCGTCCGATGTAATAAAATGTTTTATAGTACATCTAACAATTATTAATCTCCAGTTGCTACAAAATCAACTTAGTAGATCCGAAGCACAATTTTATGGGCACAACTGTTGTACACCTTAATAAAAGAGTTTGTCCGCTACACAATATATGTTTTATGTAATTCAACACATATATTTTTTTTGCACCATAAGATTAAGATCCAATGGCTTTCATTCTTCTTCTACATCCAATCTTCTTCTACCTTTAAACAATCACAAAATCATTACATCATAGAAAATATTTTTTTTCTATGAAAGAACAAATTATATATCCGCCGCCGTCACCGCCGCAGGTCGCGTTGAGGACGAGTGGCTGGTAGGACGACACACGTATGCAGAAAAACGTGTGCCCCTCTGCGTACGCTTCAGGTAAAAAATTAATCTACACGTTGATTGCTTGCTTCTATTTCAGTAATCGTGCATGCCTACACCTCCCTGACAACTGATTAATCGATCGAACATGGCAAGTTATTTACCATTTCATCCCGTGCAACGTATTTTTGCAACTTGTGTAGGTGCAACGCCTATCGTCACATGGTTCACTGGTTTGATGAAGCGTGCGTGCACTGCTGTGAAGCCGACGACATCGCTTCCCCGTCAGATCAGTGGACCGAAACAGCAGTGTATCGTGCATGTACACAGATTGCACTAAAAAATCCATGTGTTTTTTTTTTCTAAAACACATATTGTTGTATAGCATTTCTGAAATAAAATATAATGTTTTAAATACTTGGATTGTCAAAACATGTTGTCTATTTCAAATGAGAACATGTCTCTTCAAACCTGGACGGAGGAAAATTTGTTACTCAATTATTAGTTGTTTTGTCCTTTGGAAGGCAATTTGTATACATACATGAATGTGATTTGTAAATTTTGAAGTATTTACAAACATTTAGAGCGCATAAGATTTAGATGATGTTTGGTTCACCAAAATGTTATGGTATTTGATTACAGAGACGAATGGGTTTTGGTACAAGAATTCAGTTCGGATTGGCCCATTATGCGGCACCTTATACCTGTCCTGAGCATTATCGTGTTACCGTACCTCTAAGACTCAGGTGTTCTATATTTGCTACCTTGCACCACCCCTTCCTCACAGGAGAAGCTTCACGAGCAACCACACTCGACTTTGTTGTCGTGATCTCGCTCTCACTCCCCTTTCCTCTCCCACCCTCCCTCCCTCCCTCCCTCCCTCTGCTCTTTTCTCTCTTATGTTCGGTTCACTCGGGTGTAAGAGTAGAGGTGTCGGGTTCATAAACTTTGGTTTCCCTCATGGACCGGCTTTCCAGTAAAGGCTCGGACCAGCAGACGATGTTGTGAATGACGCGTAACTCCTAGGCCGGCACAAATACCTAAACGACAGGCCAGATGGGTGATCCAATCTTCGACCGGAAAAGCCTGGCCGAGGAGGAACGGCGCCCGCTTCCGACTCTGGCCCGCCTCTCCGACCGGAAGGCCTCGCTAAAGAGGAACAGTGCTCGCTTCCGACTCCGGCCCGCCTCTCCGACCGGAAGGCTTGGCCAAACACCACTTTCGACTCCAACCCGTGTCTCCGACCGGGGATACACCGAACCTCTGCTTACAGCTCTTCTCCGACTGGCACAGTCGGAGCCGACTGAGACCAACAAACCGGAGACACCCGCTCGGTGAGGACCAGGAAACGAATGGAGAAAGTAAGGCATGGCACTCAAGTCAACCGCAATACCGAGGACCATACCCTGTACACCTGCAGAACAATACCAACATGGCATGTCAGAAGGGTACCCTGCAACCTTCTTGGCATGTCAGAACCGAAGCAGTGTTGTGGGCGTCGACATTTGCCCTATAGTGTTGTGGGCGCCATCAACTCCCACACTAGACAAACATGGTAAGGCTCCCCCCACATGCCTCTGGGCATCAACAGTGTTGTGGGCGCCAGCATTTACCATACCAGACGAACATGGTAAAATCCCCTACATGCCTCTGGGTATCAACAGTATGGCAGGCACCGACGTCTGCCATACCAGAAGAAGATGACGCAACCTCCCACATACATCTAATATTAACAGTGTTATGGGCGCCTACAATCATCTTGTACCCGACGACGTAGGTAACAAGACTTAGCATACGTACACTCTCCCTCTCTCCCAACAAAAGGAGGCTCAGTTCACTTAGATCGATTCAACACACAATAACAGAACCACCAGGTTCAAACCTCGAGCACACGCTCGAATATTCAGCGCACGCAGGAGGTCTCATCACTCTCGGCCCTTTAGACCGGAGTCCGACCGGACCTCTTACACCCCCATCTTACTTCCTTCCATTTGTAACCCCACAACAAACTTCGAGCACCTGGGCTCAGGAATAAAGTCACCAACCGACTCAAACTGGACGTAGAGCACGTTGCCTGAACCAGTATAAACCCTGTGTCATTGGGTGCTAGGCCACATCTGATCACAACGTACGGCAAAACTACAAATATTTACGTGTTGGTCACTTTCTGCACCGACGGTTGGCGCCGTTCATGGGGAAGACATTGTACGTTCACACTTTTTTGTCATTGGATGGTCCACTTTTCCACCACCTTCACCATGGCGGGCTCAAGCGATACGACTCGCTTCGGCTCACTAGAGTTTCCCGCACTCCCACCTATTGGGATGTGGGTTCCACCCGTCTTCAAGCCGTCCCAGGCCTTCGACTTCGTCGCCGACCGGCTCGGCGTACTACACCTCTGCGAGGAGGCACTTGTTTCGGCGCCCGTTGGAGGGGCGCCCTCCATCGGCTTTGGGACACATGATGACTTCAACAACGAGGCCCCTGCGCTTCATTCCGAGCAAACGCTCTGCTCAAACCCCGCTATGAGTAATGTACATGCTGTTATTTACTCGCTATTTACTATCTTCCCCCGATTATCCGGAGGGACCGCATTGTCCGCACCGCAACCACCGTATGACCGGTTCCCCTATGGCCTCGCGTCCCCGTGGACACGTACACACGGGGGCTCCAAAGGACACTGGCGCCGCCCCCTCTCACATCCAAATTCGTGGGAATGGCGAGCTATGCTCCCACCACTTTCCACGAACTCCTAGATGACGAGGTTGGGAGCGACGGCTCTAGCATCGACGATGTGGCACCAAGCCACCGTCCATCCCGGGAGTGCACTATGGCGGACGCTCTGGGACAGCCCCCGGTGGTAGTGGAGTCCTTGTAGACTCACACCCCTCTGGACTCTCGTGCGGGGCTCTCGCGCTCACGTAAGCATGCCGAGGAGCTACGACAATAGCGGCGGAATCAGCCACCACCCGCGCGCGGCACGCTCGGTGCAGCACGTTGCGCCCCATGCGCATAACCCGGCGAGCGGAGCCCGAGGTCACGCCCGCTAGGTCCACCGCGACCTCATGGACGAAGGGAATGACCCCCCACAGTTTGCTCGGGCTAGCCAGAACATCACCGCTGCGGCAATGCTTCTGCGCGGCGTTCTCGAGCCCATCGACCCCTAGGAGCGGGCGGTCCACTAGAACCTCCGAGCGCTGGTGGAAGCCGCCGCCATTCAACAGGCAGAGAGCTCCGCATCGTGGCCTCTCTCCCCACCAGGGGAGCGGGGACGCACCAGACAGATCGCTCCATCCGCTCACCGCTACAGTCGCTAAGCGCGGCACAGGAGGCCGTAGCCATGCCGCGGTCCGACCTGGCGCCTGCTCCGCACCGACCGGCGGTATGAGAATGGCTCGGTCCGAACCAAGACGCTCACGGCGTCATCAGCAACCGGCATTAGGCCCGGCATGCTGATGACGCCCATCGGGATGGTGAGGGCAGGCGACATGGGCCTCGGCCGAACCATCGAGGGAAGTCGTGGGCCATCGAGGCGACATGGGCCTCGGCCAGACGACCGAACGACGTCATCACCGTGGGCAGCGCCTTCTCACATGCCTTCACGTGCGACCGCGAGCACTTCGAGCTTGCCACCGCCATAATTAACTCGTTCGAGCTCCCGCGGCTCGAGGAGTCATCGACCCTAGCAGTCTTGAACTGCAACAAACCAACCTCCTCGATGGCCTTCCACCCAGTCGAGGAAACCAAGGCGGTGGGAATCGACCCCACTGACCCTATCAAGACAGTGCGGATCGCGACCCAGCTCCTGGCCAAATAGGAATGCGAGCTCGTCGATTTTCTACAAGCCAATAATGATGTCTTCGCATGGAAGCCTTCTGACATGCCGGGCATACTGCGGGAGGTCATCGAGCATGCATTGTGCCTCATCCTGGGCTCGAAGCCCGCCAAGCAGCACCTACGTCGCTTCGACGATGAGAGGCGTAGGGCCATAGGCGAAGAGATCGCTAAACTCCTAGCAGCCGGATTCATCAGAGAGGTATTCCACTCTGACTGGCTTGTCAATCCTGTTCTTGTTAAAAAGAAGACTAGAAAATGGAGAATGTGCGTTGATTATACTGGTCTCAACAAAACGTGTCCAAAGGATCACTTTCCTTTGCCACGCATAGACCAGATAGTCAACTCCACCTCGGGATGCGAGATCCTCTCCTTTCTAGATGCATACTCAGGCTATCACCATATTATGATGAAAGAGTCTAATCAACTCACAACCTCGTTCATCACCCCGTATGGTTTGTATTGTTACGTAACCATGCCTTTTGGTCTGAAGAATGCTGGCGCCACCTACTAAAGGTGCATGCAGCAATGCTTCGCCGACCAAATCGACCCGCTCGATCAGCCTGATCAAGCCGAGCGGCTGAAACCAACAATCACCATCTATGTTGATGACATAGTGGTCAAAATGGCTCAAGCTTGCA